ACAGGGTGGTCAGGACAGGCTTCCTGGAAGAGGCGACTTTTGCACTTCGAATGATGAGAAGGTACCAGCCAGTAGAGAAAGCTAATGGTATTGCAGGCAGAGGGAGGAACAAGTGCAAAGGCCCAAGGCTGGAACAGGCATGTTGTGTACCCAGTGTGATGTCTTAAACGTTTGATGATACAAGTAGCATGAAAGAGGAGGCATTGCCTGGGGAGCAAAGGTTATGGCTTCAGGACTTGGGTGGGCCAATGTGTAGACCTAAATCCCAGAGGGTGGGCACAGCATTTTCCTCGAAGCACGCAGGTACTCACTGATACAGAAATCCTCTCACAAAGGCAGACACGGAAAGGGGCTGGACATCATTCTGCTTCCCAGCCTTGGGTGGCCTGCCGGGAAGTGTGGAGCATGGAGACCAGAGCCCCCTCCTCATGTTGGCCAAGTGAGGTGAGGAAGAGACGAGGCTGTTGCTTTTCCATGTCTCTCCCGTGGATTCTTAAATGAATTCCACTGTCACCCTGGCCAGTTTGGCTCCTGGATAGAGTGTCTGCTTGTAGACTGCAGGGTCCTGGGTTCAATTCGGTCGAGGATAAGTACCTCAATTGTAGGTACAATCCCTGGCCCCGGTTGGAGCGCCTGTGGGAGGCAACCAACCAATGTGTCTCTCTTCCATCAATATTTCTCTCTCTGTATCTCTCTCCCTCCTTTCCACTCTCTCTAAAAATCAATGGAAAAATATCTTTGGGTGAGGATTAACAACAAAAAAATTTAATTCCACTGTCAAGATTCCCACACCCTTACTGGACTGTTTGGAGGTTGGGGGTTGAGTCCCACGCTGTACCCCCGATTCCTTCACCAAACAAACACTGGATCCTAGATGCTGGACGCCGAGTCATATTTATCCCAAGGCCACAGACGGCTTGCAAGCTTTCTCACACGAACCTGACAACACAAAATGTCTGAGATTGACTCCAGCTGTGGCAAATCCCTAATTAAATAATTTCCCCCAATGAGTCAGTCCCACAGGAGGCAACTGAGACATTCTGTGTGGGTCAGCGTGTCATTTGGAGTGGGTCTTGTCTACAGAAAGCCCAGACTCAGCCCCGGTGGTTGACTGGGGCTTGTCCTCAGGGCAAAACCCAGACCCCGGAGGGAGGGAGAATCCACCACCAAGTACAACGCCAGGTAGCTTTTCCCTTAAGTAAACCTGATGGGGAAAAAACGGCTTTTCCCAGAAGTTTAAGTAAAGGCGGATTATTTGCTTCACAAAAGGATTCAGCAGAGGGCTCCTTTAAATAACCAGCTCAGAGAGAAAATGTATAATGCGATGGAGTGACAGGAAAACTTTTTCCCCAGGTGTATCTCTTCACTCTGTGTGCCTGTGGGAAGGTGAGGATGTATTTGTAGCTGTCGGAGTTACACAGACGGGTTTGGGCCATGTACCCATTGAGGACATTGAGGCATGTAGATGTGGCATTGATGGGCAGCCTGCTTTACCCCCGATTCTGCTGATCCCCTCAGGGGATCCAGGGGCGATCAGGCAACATGATAAACCCTCCCCCTTCTGACAGAGGAGCTGGTGGCTGTCGGGGCCTCTCTCTGTCCTTCTTGGAGAAGTGGCACCACAACCATGGAGCTAGCCTGTGGTCTTCACAGAAACATTAAGTATTTGTTGAGTGGGGCCCTGTCCCTGGCTCTGTGGTAGGCACCCCACAGGCTGTGTCTTAGTTTGTCCTCACGGTGAGTCTGTGAGATGGATGGCAATGGTGATATTTATTTTTTATCTGCTAAACTATGAAAGCTGGGTTATGTTTCCCGGCTCTTCCACTTGGAAAACAACCCTTAATGGAAGTAGTTTTATTTTATATCTTTGTGGCTTATTAGATAAATGTAGGCTTATTAGAGAAATGTAGACTTATTGTAAACAATTCACATAATAGAAGAGAACAAAGGAGAAAGTCAAAATTACCAATTATCCCACCACTCATCTATCTCCCCACTGTTAATATTTTAGTGTGCACTCTTTCAGGCTTTTTTTTCTGTATGTGTATGCAATGAAATATATATGTACATGTAAACACACACATACATGTTTTAAAACATATTTGTAAAAATATCTATGTTTTTCAACTGAACAATGTATTGTGAACATTTTTTTCCCATAAACAAAGCATATAGGCCTGCAGCACTATCTTGTAGAGCAGCAGAGTATTACATTTTATGGACCTGTGATGTGGGTATTCCAGCACGATGCTGTTATAAGCATAGCATCTTTCCACTTCTCATGTTCTGTTGCTTATATGTCCACCTACACAGATTCATATGCATCTTTGCATGGTTGCCTGGTTATTTTCTTAGGAAAAATTCCCAGCCGTGGGACTACTGGAGTATAGGGTATGTACATATTACCTTTAATCACATTTTTGCCAAGATTCCCTCCAAAATATTTGAATAGGTGTGCCTTCCAGCTTCTCCTATCCTGTCCTTCCTCGCTCTGTCTCTCAGGGAAAGTCGCCGCCACTCCAGCCTCGGCTTCTTCACCTGTGAAATGGGCGTGAGGACAGCAGTTCACAGTTAGCAGTTCACATTAAGCACATACTAACTGCCAGACTGTGTATACACTGAGTATACATCATGTGGGCCATTGAAATCTCACAGCAACCCTAGGAGAAAGGGCCTAATGTCCCTTTTTACTTTTATTTTCTCTGTTCCTGAGGCTCAGAGGGTTAAGTGTTCCTGAGGGCGCCCAGTTAATTAGGCTGAGCTGTGTCACTTCTGGGGTGAAGCCAGGGTGGGGGAGGTGGGGGGCTCTTTCTCTCCAGGAGCCACACTTTGGCTAGTCCAGGTAGCCAGGTACTGTCTGCTTAAGGCAGTGGTCGGGAAACTCATTAGTCAACAGAGCCAAATATCAACAGTACAAGGATAGAAATTTCTTTTGAAAGCCAAATTTTTTGAACTTGAACTTCTTCTAATGCCACTTTTTCAAAATAGACTGGCCCAGGTTGTGGTATTTTGTGGAAGAGCCACACTCAAGGGGCCAAAGAGCCGCATGTGGCTCGAGAGCCTCAGTTTGCCCACCATGGGCTTAAGAAGTCTACATGGCTTCTCCACCACCGTGCATGCTGGCGGGCATCCCCATTACTCACTGGGTGTGACTGGCCCGCAGCACTTACCTCGGTCTGGAAATAGTAAGGAGGGATTTTCCAGAAGGTTTGGGGAATTTCCTCTGACAACCAACTAAGTATCTTTTCACTTTAGTTTTGGAAGAGAGGAAGCATGTTTTCAAAGTCAGCACCATCTCCCACAGTGAAATCCCAGACGTACACCCGCTGCCTCCCTGATGGTGGCCATCCTCCACCCACCGCTCCTGGCCTAAATGCCAGACTCTAACCTGCTTCCGGGAGTCTTCTCACTGCGGGATGCCAGGTCTGGGATCAGCCAGTGAAGGAATCCTGATCCACACCTTCCCCTTCCTTCTCAGGCCTATTGATCTGGAAGTGTCCGAGCAACCTGAGAAATCTGAATATGAGAGCAACCTGAAATGCGACTCTCAGGGGCTAGAGTGGGGCCTAGGCCACTCTGGCTCCAGGAAGCCAGTTCTGCAGGCAGCCAGCTCCCACAGACCCTGGGTGTGTGGCTGGCACATCCAGGGAGGGCAGCCTTTCCAAACCCTCTTTAAAAAAAAAAAAAAAAAATTATTGACTTTTAGAGAGAGAGGAAGGGAGAGGGATCCAGGGATTGAGCCCACGACACAAGCATGTGTCCTGTCTGGGAATCAAACCTCTTAGTTGCTGGGTCAATGCTCAACCACACTGAGCCACACTGGCCAGGCCAGACCCCCTTTTTAATGGAAAGAGATTTCTCCCCTGTTGGTTTAACAGGTTGATGCCACATAAACGCAGAGGGATGGAGAGGGAAATTGTGAGTTTCAGTAAGTAACAGTGCTGTGACCAGCAGTTGGAAGGGAGCTGGTAGGGAAGTGTCCCACTTCGGCACTGGGACCCCAGAGAAGGAACCCAGTCAGGGCACAGTGATTGCCAGAGCACACAGCAAGGCCGAGGGTGTGTGTCTGTGCAGATAAAGTGAGCGCCGTCACACAGCCTAGCCAAGGATGGCTTTGAGGTGTCTTTCCCCACCAGGCAGTTGAATCCTTTGAAATGAGCTCAGGCCTCAGTGGGGGAGGGAGGGAGGGCGCTGAGGCTAGGAGTTACGCACTCCCAGAGGCTGGTCCCTGGGGACTTAGCCCCTGCATTGGGAGAAAGGTTTTTATTGCCTTATCTAATGTGATGCTGATTCCTTTTAAAAATATGTTGTTGGCCAGACGTTGCTGATGTGAACTTTGCAGAGTCATCTCAGGGAGGGAGGTGGCCCACGTTTGGGGAGTCTTTGTCATGAATAAGTAAAGAGAAGAGATGAGGGAGGACCCAGGAGAAAACCTAAGTGTGGGGGCGGGAGCAGGAAAATACAGATATCTCTGAAACATCCCCAGTGTGCCTGGCACCTCGCATATGATTTTTTTCATTCCATCTCTGTCCCAGCCCTCTGAGGTGGGTGTTTTTATCCCCACCTTCCAGAGGAAGAAATGGTGCTCAAATGGCTTAAGCAACTTGCAGTGATACAGAGCTAAGAGGCAACAACCAAGAGGCAGGAAGATCATAATGGAAAGAAAAATGGTTCTACGGAAGGAAAACAAAAATGTTTTTTTGAGATATTTGATAGATTGATGCTACTGCTCATATGTAGGCAAGAGATAAGGCCTTAAAATCTTGCCATCGGCTGAGGTGCTCATTCTCTGTGACTTAGTGAAGCAAGGCCACTTCCTGTATGTGTGTTTGACACTCTGCAAGCAAACTTGAGGGACCTTGTTTGAGCAATCCGGAACGCCGGAGCGTCTGCAAATGAATGGAGAGAGAGCACACGAGCTGGAGTGGGACAAGAGGTCCTTCTCATCTCCTTCCAGTGGTCTTGTCTCACCTGTGCCCCTTCGCGCCCTCCTCACCCAGGTATGACTTCATCGAGATCCGGGATGGGGACAGCGAGGCTGGGGACCTTCTGGGGAAGCACTGTGGGAACATCGCTCCGCCCACCATCATCTCCTCGGGCTCCGTGCTCTTCATCAAGTTCACCTCCGACTACGCCCGGCAGGGCGCCGGCTTCTCCCTGCGCTACGAGATCTTCAAGACAGGTCAGTGTGGTCCTGGGTGGGAAGCCAGGCCATGGGCATCTAAGAGAAAATGGGGCACCACCCTCTGTGCCTGGCTGTGGGGCAGCGCCTATGGGAACCATGTCATAGTCGTGTGCGCATAGACAGGTTGATGGAGGGAAGAGAGGTTCGGGCAGACCTGCAGACAGACACAGACCAAGATGGAAAGCGAGTTGTAGTTATCACCCAACTGGCGAGGGCCATGTGCTGGGGGATGCCCAACGGGGCGACAAGCTTTGCTTGTGTCACCGAAAGAGAAGGGGCACCAGTTCAATAGAAAACCCCTGTTGGGACGAATCTGATTCTCGTGTTTTTGAAAAGACACAATACTCTTCATGGGAAAAAAGTGAAACTGGGCTGACCTTCCCCCTAATGACTTCACGGTTTAATGTTACCGTTATTTGGAATTACACGGGGCAGGCGGACATAATCTTTGTATTGTGTGGAGTCTCTAAAGATCTCCGTGTGGCCTACGCGCCCCCACTGGGGTCAGACAGCAGCTTTGAAATTCAGTGATGGCTCCTAGATCCCCTTTACCGCTTCTACCCGTCGCACCCCACTTTCTAAATGCCAACGAAGTGCACCCCGAAAAAGCAATAAGAAGAGAGAGAAAGCCGAAACCGGTTTGGCTCAGTGGATAGAGTGTCGGCCTGGGGACTGAAAGGTCCCAGGTTTTATTCCAGCCAAGGGCATATATACCTTGGTTGCGGGCACATTCCCAGTGGGGGGGGGGGGAGGGTGTGCAAGAGGCAGCTGATCGATGTTTCTCTTTCATCGATGTTTCTAACTCTCTATCCCTCTCTCTTCCTCTCTGTAAAAAATCAATAAAATATATATTTTTTTTAAAAAGAAAAGAAAAGAGAGAGAGACAGACGTGCACATCCAGCAGACTGCTTGCTTTCGACTGGCTCCCCCTTAGGTTGCTGAGAGCAGGGGCCAGTGCTTATGCCCAGACCTGGAGAGAGCCAGCTTCCATTCACAAGACGCTGGCTCAGCGTCTCCATTTCTGCTCTCCCAGCAGCGTGCTGCCCTGCCCTCTGACAGGGGAGCTCAAGATCTTGAGGCCACGGGAAGCTCATCCCCCAATTCTCCCTGTCCTTCGGCAGCTCTGCCACCTGAGAGGCTCCGCCCCATCGAAGGAGCGTGCTCCCCTCCCCAGCCCGAGTTCTGCAGCTCCTGGACGGAGCTGGTGAAAGCGGAGGCCTTGTCATCGAGAGGCCCAGGCCCGGCGCCTGTTGAGTTCAGCGTGAGGGGAGCTATTCATATATATTTTCTTTTTCACTAAACAGTTCTCGAAAGGAAGTGGTAGCTGCTGAAAGCACTTTTTATTTCCACTCTGTCTAAATATTTGTTAAATTTGTCTGCCGGAGAACAAGAACGTGGAGTCTGATGAAAGGGTGGGGCCGAGGGGACTGTGTCCTGTGTCGAGCCAGGGTGGGAGCCCGGACTCTCCCGCAGAGACAAGTCCCCAGAAGGGCCATCTGCGGCGGGTCACAACCCGCCTGCCTCCACAAGGTCACGGGCACCGACAGTCTGTGTGCGGTGGCCCCAGGTGGGTGGGCAGCTCCTGAATCGCTCGATCCACAGTCCCCGAGTCCTGGGCCAGCTCCGATCCCTGATGAAACACTCATTGTAGCCTTTCTGCTGGGAGCAGTGGGGAGAGAGGGCAGACAAGGGTGAGTAAGACAGGTGTGCGGACCCTCAGCACGCGACAGAGGCCCAGCAGACGTGGTTGGATGGATGCATGTACATAGGCATGTCCGTGGAAGAACTAGGATGTGAGGCAGAATGAGTAGGCGCTCGGTTAAGGTGTGACTGGCACGTTGTGGTTGTGAAAATGGGGGCTCCACCGGGGGACTTCGCAGTGGAGCATCTGGGAAGCCTATTCGATAGCAAGGTCCCCAGGGCTCAGCTGTCACTCACTCGGCTCCAGCGTGCTGGCGTGGGAGGGAAGCAGCTCCAAGCAAGTTCTTCGGGGAGCTGGCCACGGGACCATCACAACAGAACGAGCAGGACCGTTCAAGCTCACCTCAGTGTCATGCCTCCGGATGCAGTAGTTCACAGCGACGCCGCCACATTCCCCAGAAAGCCCCAGGAAAGTGAGTGTTAATCTACTCAGATTTAAGGGGACAGTGTTAAAAGCTAAAAACACAGGAGGGCATTCTAACTCCGCATTGCCATTTTGAGGACAGCTGAGGTAGGATTTTTGAAGGAGGTGGCGAGTCTGCATACTTTTTAGAAACAAGACCGCCATCCGAAAGGGGCAGCCTGGGTGTGGAGACGTGGGCAGCCTGCTGTCAGGACTGCCGTGGTCTGTACAAGGAGGAAGGACATGACTACAGTGGGGAAGAGGGGGGGCAGGTATCTATCCCCGCCAACAACAGCCCTGCTTCTGGGCAAGTAAGAAAGAAGACGAAGCCCAGTGGTTTCTCGGGGCCACTGCAACCTGCCGTCGTGTCCCTCCCAAAGAGCCACTCTGGGCATGAACGACAGCTCGGCAGAAAGCACGTACTAGGACACGTGTGGGGGTGCAAACGTCAACATTCCTCCAGGCGCCGTGCCCTGCACCCACCGTGGGAGTCTCGAGAGAAAATACACCATTGACATCATCTGCGGGACATGAAAGAAGCGCGTACACATTCCGAGGAAATCTAAACACACGCAGCTATGTTTGCCCGTCGGACTCATAGAGAAAGAAGGGGGAACCATAAACACAGACACACATACCCACACGGAGGGCTCTGGAAGCCTTCGCCAGCACATGGCCCTGGCGAGACGGCTGCGAAAGGAAGCTGACAGCCGCTTGGGTACCGGCAGGGGCCGTGCGGCTGGGGCGGGAGTGCGTGTCTGCCCTGAATGAAGTGGTTTGTAAAGGAGTCTGCACGTTACCAGACAGGCCACATGGAAAGGGGTAAACCAAAACAACTCGTAAATTCCCAGGCTCTCCAGTCCCCCAATCCTGGGTCGAACAGAGAAAGGAATTTTAAAATAACTCAAAAATACAGCCTTCGAGACTGGAATCGCTGGAAAATGTGGCTTTTTTTGTTTGTTTTCCTGTGCTCCTTGGACCCACGTTCAAGATCAGGTTTTCTTTCCCAGTGCCCGGGGGACATTTTGGGGACTGAAATCTCTGGGGTCACTCACAGACAGAGAAAAGCTGGGTGTGCCTTCTGCAGTCCGGCCAAGCTCAGCTCCGGAAAAAGCCCACGTGTTGTCAATAGCTGTGTGCCTGCAGAGTCTCCTCCCGCTCGCAGGGTGGCTGTGCACTTTGCAGCGGAAACCATGGAACAGGCATTTTTCATAGCCGGGGCGGGGGGGGGGGGGGGGGGGGCTTTGGTCTGAGGTGGTGCACTGCAGCTGGAATTTCCCCGCCTCCTAGTAAGGTGACCAGATTGTCCCACTTTGGGCGGGACAGTTCTGATTTTCAACAATTTTCCCCCTGCGTCCCGCAGCATTTTTAAAAAGTCCCGATTTTTTTGGGGAGGGAAATTATGGAGAGATGATAGAGCTGCCTCTGGAGAGATGATGGAGCCTTCTGGAGAGATGGTAGAGCCAGCTCCGGAGAGATGATGGAGCCAGCTCCGGAGAGATGATGGAGCCGCCTCTGGAGAGGTGATGGAGCCACCTCTGGAGACATGGTAGATCCATTTCTGGAAGGAAGGTCAATGTCTTCCCAGCTCTGGATGTGTGCTGTGAAGAGCTCCTTTTCCCTGGCTGAGTTGCCCGCATGAAGCAGGCCGCACAACATTAATCTTCTCAAAGTTCCCTTTGGCCCCAAGACCTGCCAGCTGGCCTGGCCTCACCCAACTGCCTCATCTGGCCATTGAGGAGGCCTTGGGGCTGAGGGCTAAATGGTAACCAACGCCAGGGACTGGCTAGGAAACTGAGGTGCCATCCAGTTCCTCCCGCTGGCCCTGGCCGCCCATTGGGCTGCCCTGCCCTGGAATGATGGGATGTGGAGCTGCTGAGACGTGGCCCACAGAGACCCCCCAACAGGTCCTGAAGAGGCTGGCTCTCGCCCAAGCCCACCTGCCCAAGCTCAGTGCTGGGTCGGTGGCGATGCTGGAATTTCTGCCTGATGTCACCACCCCTGCTCATCTGCATGATACCTTTTCCTAGTCAGACTTCGCTGCTTCCCAGACAGCCATCATCAATAAAGAGGCTCACAGAGGGGGCTCCGCAGGAGCTGCGGATAAAGACGTCGCCCCAGGCCGGGATCCGTATATTGACATCGCGGAGTTGTGTTTCTGGGGGCTCCCGGAAGACACTTCCTGCCAGTAAACACCTGCTTTACTGAGGATTTGCGTGTGTTTTTTCCTCATGCTTAGAGGGCCTATCTATCCTCCTCATAAATCCTGCTTCCTTTTTTTTTTTTTTTAAATCAGAATGTCATGAAGTCAATTCTGCTTGTCCGACAGGACCCATGTTGCATTAACTGGTCTCGGGGCACCCTGTGCAGCTCAAGTCCCTTGGGCCTGGCTGCAGCATCCTGGGCTGTCCCCAGGACTCTCCTGGCAGGCTGTACCACCATACTCTGGGAATGTGACTCCACCTAGAAGCATGAGGGGTAGGGTGGCTGTGATCCTGTCACAGCTCCCGCCGCCTGCCAGGCCCGCCTCGGGGTGCCAGTGTGTGCCACCCGCAGTCAGGACGCCTCCCCGAGTCCCGGGAAAGCAGCGTGAGCGCTGAGCTGCACAGCGAGGCCACCCCACAGAAAGGAGCCGGGAGCCCCTCCAGGAGCAGTACAGGCCGCATTTTTCGGGACTTGCTGCCGAGTGGCCTTTCACAGCCCCAGCACCCCGCTGTGATCCACCGGCTACAAACATCGATTGTTCATTGTCTGGCCACTACAGAGCAGCTCGTTTTAATATAGTCATGACATGAATGAGACCCGAGCTCCCCTTTGCCCCTCCCCTGGGGCACCTTGGATCTCGGAGGGAGAAGGGGGCACTTGGTTGGCGCTGGTACAATAGGGGCTGTGTTGAGGTCAGCAATAAATAAGGGGTAACATTGTTTGCCCTGCTGGCAATCAGCAAGCCTTCCTTAAGGATTGAAATAACTTACATTTCTGGAGCAAGCAGCTGAGTAATTGAGAAAGAAGTCTCTGTTCCTCATTTCAAGAGAATCAAACTCTCTCTCTCTCTCTCTCTCCACACACACACACACACACACACACACACACACACACACACACACTTCTCTCTTCCCCCCCATTCCTCAATTACTATTCTTACTTTTACATGTAGAGCTAACCATCTCGCCTCCTTAATTTCTCTCTTAAAGAGGGTCCCGTTCACGGGCTTGACACATGAATGGGAAGAGTATGTTGCTTCAAGGGCCACTCCAGTGGAAACAAACAGCCCCTGAGTAGGGACGTGGGCCCAGGCATTTAAATAGCTCATGCTGCAGAGGCAGCTCAGGAAGGCATCTTCCCCTCCCTTCTTAATGCTGCGGTTCTCTCTGACGTGCAGGCTCTGAAGATTGTTCAAAAAACTTCACCAGCCCCAACGGGACCATTGAGTCCCCCGGGTTCCCCGAGAAGTACCCGCACAACCTGGACTGCACCTTCACCATCCTGGCCAAACCCAAGATGGAGATCGTCCTGCAGTTTCTGACCTTTGACCTGGAGCATGACCCCTTGCAGGTGGGGGAAGGAGACTGCAAATACGACTGGCTGGACATCTGGGACGGCATCCCCCATGGTGAGTGCTGTCGCCATCACCGTCACCAGGCACTCTTCGGGAGCCTCTCCTGGGCCTGCTCATTGCTTTAGGGACAATAAAAATAGGAAGCGAGACTGCACACCTCCTTAGGGTGTGTATGGGACCCACCATGGCGTTCTTGTCTCATCCTACACCAAGGAGGGTTTCCGAGATTGCAGGAGGGCAATTCTTTCTGGGAGACATTGGTTTGGAGAAGGATAGGAGGAGACCGAGTAGATATATGGGTGAGAATGAGAAAAACTATCAGCGATGCTCTTTTCTCCTTCATGTTGTCAGGGTTTCCATGGAAAATGACTCAGTGGCCACCCTCTGTGCCCACATAGGACTCTCAAGCCGGTTGATGAGGTATAAATCCCACTCTGCTTATTAGTGGCTCCGCAGCCTTGCGCAAGCCGCCACTAACCTATCTGTCGTATCTGTATAAATAAGCTGCTGTTGTCATCATTATTATTACTATAATTCCATTATTATTAATATAGTCATAGATGTCACCTGAGGCCCAGAGGAACCCGGAACCTGTATCTCTTGGCAAGAGACCAGCGTAAGACTTGGGAATAGTCTGTATCAGGAGGAAACCAACCTTTCGCTTTGGTAGTCATTCTAAGTATTTTGCCCCATTAGGGAGACCCAACAGCTAAGCAGTTTCATTTCCTGAGAAAAACACAAGATTTAGTCATAAAACTTGGGCTGGAGCTCTGTCATTTCCTTGCCGTCTGAATAACGGAAAGTCACGTGACCTCTGGGAGCCTCAATCCTTTCTTCTGTAGAGCAGGCACTGCAATGATACCTCTCCTGCCATCTCCCGGGCTGTGAGGACAGGATGGGGTGGGTCGGTGAAGGGACTCTTTACTGTGCAGGCAAAATGTTAGACATTGTCCCTAAAGCATATCTTTGGTTGTTCTCTTACGCCAAGGCATACAAAGGGAGGCCCCACTGAATGGCTTGCGCTTGTGGGGAAGGAAGGACATACTGAAAATGGCGTTTGACGTTTCCGTATCTGTTGCCCTCTCTTTGTTCTGCATGTCCAGTGGGTCCCCTGATCGGCAAGTACTGTGGGACCAAAACACCCTCGGAACTACGTTCGTCGACAGGGATCCTCTCTCTGACCTTTCACACGGACATGGCGGTGGCCAAGGATGGCTTCTCCGCCCGCTACCACCTGGTCCACCAAGAACCGCTCGAGAGTGAGTTGGCCGGTTGGGAACCTCTGTCCTGTCCCTTCCTCAGAGCAGGGAGGGCGAGCTGACCTCCCAAAGGCCAGGGGCCTGGCAGGCATTCTGCAGAGCCTGCATGGGCATCTGAGTTCAAAGAATGGGAGCTGTTAGGCAAAGATGAATAAAAGCAGAACGAGTGTCCATCTGGGTTGCTCATTTCTTTAAAGGAAACAAATAGTATGTGTACCAAGAATTCGTTATTCCCAGGGAAAATTACGGGAGCATCTCATTTTCTCATCTATAAATAAAAGGGAGGTCAGTTAGGATATCTATATAAAACTCCCCCTGTGCTAACATTGAGTCTAGGACCCTTTTTTCCTTCCTCTCCAAGCCTCAGTGACCATTGTCAGAAGCAGCAGTTTTAAATCTCTCTGTATGTATTTTGACGTTAAAACATCTCTGGCTACAGGTAGAGCTTATCCCACACCTCCCCTCACACTTCCCTCAGGGCCCTGGGCTTGCTCTCTGGGCCATCAGTCTCCTGCCCGGAGCTCCATCTTCATATCCGCTCCTCCTGAGCGTGTGCTTCAGCTGTGCTCCCATTTCCCATTAGAAACCCAAATGATAGCCTAAGGCCGTGGTTGGCAAACTGCGGCTCTCGAGCCACATGCAGCTCTTTGGCCCCTTGAGTGTGGCTCTTCCACAAAATACCACGGCCTGGGCGAGTCTATGTTGAAGAAGTGGCATTAGAAGAAGTTTTAAGTTTAAAAAATGTGGCTCTCAAAAGAAATTTCAATTGTTGTACTGTTGATATTTGGCTCTGTTGACTACTGAGTTTGCCGACCACTGGCCTAAGGACTGAAAGAGCACTTGAAGGATGGTTAGAGCCAGGGAAAGTTCGCCATGCTTGCAGACAGCGTGCCTCATGCTTACCTACAGGCACGGCAGCCTGGCCTGCTGAAAAGTCGATGCGTTTTATTCTGGGATTTTTTTTTTTTTCTTCCAAGGGCTCATGAATATTGAGTGACAAGAAAATAATATTGCAGATGGCACCCAATTCTGCAGATGGCCAGAGCAGTCATAAAACTAAATAGATCTGAAACCTGAAAAGCTCGCTTGTCCTTATCAGACACATGCACACATAAATATTGACCAGTGTCTGCAGTAACCATGGGAAGGGCAGCAATGGAACTGACGGCGCAAGGACAGAGGAAGGGATTTCCGGGTCTATTTGCCCAGACAGGTGGTTCGGGGGAAGGAAGACTGACATGCACATGCGTGTAGAGAGGTCTCCTGAAGACAGGTACTTGCTGCTTTGTAATGTCTGACTTCTGTGCTAGAACTCATGAGACACTGGAGTGAAAGAAAAGAAAAAGCAAAAGATGCCTTCTGGGTGTTTATTAATGAAGCAGGCTTCCCACGATGTATCAGCCCACCCAAATTGCCACAGTCGATCACACATGTACCTGTGTTTCAATAATGGTGCATCTGGCGTCTGCGAGCATCTGTAGCCTGCAGCACTAACAGTCCTTGTGCTTTGGATTGTATTTTTAATTTGTATGATGATTCTTATTTACCCACAGCCTGATTTCTTTTAGGTCCAATTTAGTTTCCTTCAGACCCAGAGGGGTTGTCAAGCTCTAGGACTTGGTGTAGCTTTAAAAAAAAAAAAGAAAGAAAGAAAGAAAAAAAAAAAAGAAACAGACAAAACATGGGAGTATATAATTAGGTCTTCAAGAGGAGAGAATGCCTGCAAGGACTTGTCCCAAGAAGGGAGGTGTATTTTGCAAGTCCCGAGGGTATGAGATTGAGATGTCTAACTCTGTGCTTGACCATCTCCGCTCCCCAGACTTTCAGTGCAATGTCCCTCTGGGAATGGAGTCCGGCAGGATTGCTAATGAGCAGATCAGTGCCTCCTCTACCTACTCCGACGGGAGGTGGAGACCTCAGCAAAGCCGGCTCCATGGGGATGACAACGGCTGGACACCCAACTTGGATTCCAACAAGGAGTATCTCCAGGTACTTGCTCGGCTGTCAGAGGGTACACAGAGTGTGAGTGCACTGGTGGGCAAAGGGGGTGGCTCCTCGTCTAGAGTGGACAAAGAGCACAAAGATAATAAACACAGCATCCTTGAGAACATCATTCACTCATCCATCCATTCGAACAGACACATGTGCCCAGCACAGATAGGCTGTGCAGGCACCATGCTGAGTGCTGGGCTAAATGACTGGTAAGATGGACACTGCCCTGCTCTTGTGAAGATTGCCAGGCCTTGGGGATGCTGTTTAGCCAAGATGCTGTTTGCCCTATCGCTATAGCCTCCCCAGGAACCGTCTATGAACAGATCCAGGTCTTCCTCATCCTTGGCACAGGGCTACTTCAGAAATGTGATGGAGTGTAGGCGTCTTCCTAAGGGCAGGCTTGTGAGTTGCTAGCTGAGCAGGGCAGCATCCCATGATCCTTGCTGTTTGGAGGAGCCCCACCAGGCAGGGTTTGCACATGGGTCTTGGAAGAGCACCTGGGGAAATGTCCGCACCAGGAATGACACTCCAGTTGCCCAGTTACTCGGCAGCATCTTCTCGGACTACTGTTTGCTTCTCTTCCAAATAAGACTTACTGTCATGTTAAGTAATCCTCCCTGGCATGACAGACGTGTCCAGTTCTCGTCCCCAGGGAAGAGCAGGCTGCTAGTTCCCTGCTTAAGCAAGGCCTTGTGACTCACAGCGGACAGCCTTGCGACCCATTGACAAGCTTGTCTTCGCTCCGATGCCACACAGTGACCTCTGCTCTGAGAAGGACATTGCAGAGCGCACAATGGGGACGGGAGAAAGACCACTTAGAAACTTTCAGGGAGGCACTCACAGCACAACCCTAAGGCCATTTGTCATGTCTGCCCTCCAAAAATCTTTCTCCTTCTGCAAAGCTTTCAGAAAGTTCTCCCTTATAGTGGGCATCCCATTGATTATACCTTGAGTTTTGGTCCTTAATCACATACTTTCTCTTACTGCTATCCACCTGTTTATCATGCACAGATACCGCACTGGGTACTTCTGTTGAATGCTTAATAGTGCTGAGCACATGTTAAGTAGCTAGTAAAGGCTTGCTGGGTCAAATTTTCCCAGTATGTGCTGGCTAACTTTTGATCACTTGGAGATTACCATTAACAAACACTGTAGCTGCCGAAGCTGGTTTGGCTCAATGGATAGAGCATCGGCTTGGGGACCGAAAGGTCCTGGGTTCAATACCGGTCAAGGGCATGTACCTTGGTTGCGGGCATATCCCCAGTAGGGGGTGTGCAAGAGGCAGCTGATCGATGACTCTCTCGCATCGATGTTTCTAACTATCTCTCTTCCTTCCTCTCTGTACAAAATCAATAAAATATAAATAAAAAAAAGAAAGAAAGAAAGAAAGAAAGAAAGAAAGAAAGAAAGAAAGAAAGATAGAAAGAAAGAGAAACACTGTAGCCCTAGGTGGTTTGGCTCACTGGGTACAATATTGGCCCGTGGACTGAAGGTTCAATTCTGGTCAAGGGCACGAATCTTGGTTGCAGACTTAATCCCCAGCCCTGGTTGGAACATGTGTGAAAGGCAACCAATCAATGTGTCTCTCTCACATCAATGTTTCTCTCTCTGTCTCTCCCTGTCCCTTCCATCCTCTCTAAAAATCATTGAAAAAGTATCCTCGGGTGGGGATTAACAAACAACGAAAGAAGCAGTGTGGCAGCCAAAGAATGGCATCCAGCACCTTCCAAATGGGTTTGGTGTCCTAGGAGGGGAGGGGCCTCAAAATGTTGGCCATCCTCCTCATGGAGCAAAGGTCAGGTCTTGGTGCATCAGCCTAATTGCTTGGGCAGACTCTGCGTGCCCTTTGGCCCCTTACCAACCTGAGCAACTAAATACACAATGGAGTGAGGGCCTGAGGGGAGGGGAGACAGACCAGAGCTGAGATTTTGCAACTGGGGCATTGTAAGTGAATTGGATTGAACTGCACTGGATTGGAGTAGATTGGATTGGATTTGGCCATTGTTCCTTTAAAGCAGAATCTGCGTCGGCTATCCAAGGCAGGCTGCTGCTTAGTAAGGAGGGGCCATGCTCCTAGACCTTCAATGATTCCCTTAAGATGAAACTTAATACTGTCCATTCAGATTTGGAGAGAGAGAGAGAATCATTACAATTTCAAAGGTGTCCAATTTAGTGTCAAATAAGTTGAGTTTCACTGTCTAGTGCCATTGCGAATTGGCCCTTAATCGCGGATACATCTGAGTGATCACAGACACAGGTTGTGAGCTGAGTATGACAATCGTGTCCTTCGAAGCGAAGCAAGTCTCTGCCTTGCGCCGGGAGTCACAGCCCCCTTCCTCCCCCTCCTCTCTTCCTCAGGTGGACCTGCGCTTTCTGACCATGCTCACGGCCATCGCCACGCAGGGGGCGATTTCCAGGGAGACCCAGAACGGCTATTACGTCAAATCCTACAAGCTGGAAGTCAGCACGAATGGTGAAGACTGGATGGTGTACCGGCATGGCAAAAACCACAAGGTAAACCCATTTCCCCACCTCACGGGCATGCGGGGACGGTGCCGGACAGGCGAGGCGAGCTTCCAGGCAGCTCCATTCAGGGGAAGGAGCTTGTTCAGTGAGGCTCAAATGACTGATGGAGGCATAGGAGATGCTGGCCCGGAAAATGCTCTTCCTTGTGCTAAAGTGATTGGAAAATACCATTTCTCCAACAACCTGGCTGCTGTTGCGTCCTGCAGAGCAGGGGGAGAGAGAGAGCGAGCAAGAGAGAGCGAGCTTACAGAGTGCTCTCTGACTGCAAATGAAGGAGAAAATCTGTTCCCAGTCCTAGTCTCCCCACACAGGATTCACTGAGCATTTATGGCCGGAGTCCCTTCTACACGCTGGGCTAACAATCTCGAAACCACAGAGACCGGCCGTTCAGGAGTCACCGAGGTCTGGCAACGAAAGGGCACAAATCCTGAGAGGGAATCATAGTGTCCCAAGGAAGAAAGAGGATAATAAATAGCGAGGAGAAATCTGTGTGTCGGGGATGGCATCTGAACGGGCAGTCCTGCGTGGCACAGCTCAGTGCATCCTCTCTCTTTCTCGGCCAGGCCTTCAGCATCGAGGGCTCCCGGATGTGTGGCCGGGAGGGTTATATGGGGCCTGGTTGCACAGATGGATGGATGTCTGCGCTCAGATTTCTTGAGACACGTGGCACTCCGGCGCTGGCAATGTGGCTGTCCGCTCCGTGTCTGGGGGCTGATTGGCTGGTGGGCTCACCAACTGGCTCGAGGCCTGGAAGGAGCACGCTCCCCCTTCTCTAAGGGGAGCGGGGACAGAGGGAAACGGGTCTCCTCTTTGGTGCTATAGCTCCACCAGAGCCTTCGGGGTGTGAGGGATCGAAATGGGACACAGACCTCGAGAAGCCAAAGGTCTTCCCAGCAGTCCCCTCCGCTCATCCCTGACCCCAGGCAGCTGGCTCTTCTGTGCAGCTGGAAACCTCGAGCCCAAAACATCCTGAGCTAGAATGTGGGTGAGTTTTTAGAGGAGTGGATTTTTTCTTTTTTTCTTTTTTTTTTACATCAAAATTGCCATAGTAACATGGCACCATTCATCTGAAAAGCGTGGCTTCTAGATATTACCAGGCATCAGTACACACAGCTGCAGGAGTCCCCCACTTCGCAGAGAAAGGGGGCGCGTGAGAGACTTCCTCGCCCTGACACACGGGGCCAGGTTGGGTTTCTCACTGACGTTGTCTGTTGCAGAAAGAGTTGTCAGATATCACTTGGCAATGGCAAGCCTGGGGGGGGGGGGGGGTCTGGGGGCTGGGAGCGCTGGGCACTGAGTTTTCCCCCCATCCCACTCATTTTCGTGCCTTCTTTCTCCACCCACCCTGCCCAGTAGGAAACTGGTAGAACCAGAGCTTCGCCAGGTAGGCGAGGGCCGGCAGCTGGGAGGTGGCAGGCCCGGGGGAGGACCAGGAGGCTCACCTGACTGCCGCCCTGTCCAGGCTCAGTGACTAAGCAGCGCCGGCCAGAGGGATCCTGTAGCATAAGCTGGTTTTAAGAGCATGCAGATGGGCCGGATGCTATTTAAAACACCATTTGTAGGGACTCTGCTTTTGGAAATACCTTAGCGCTGCACATTTTGACAGAATGCTGTCCTCCCTGGCTTTCTCCCTGGTATTCGTGCTGCAGGGGAGATGTTCCTGAGAAGTGAAGTTTGCTTTCTGGGTGCCTTTAAAACCATTTCCCTCAACTTTTTCATATTGTATCTCTCTCTCTCTCGCTCTTGCTCTCGCTCGCTCTCTCTCGCTCTCGCTCTCACTCTCCCCCCTCCTCTTCCCACCCTTGGCAAAAATTTCCCCCCAGTAGCTAAGGGATCTTTGTTTCTGTTTTGTTATTGTCTGGGTTTTAGTGAGTCAATCCTGCCCACTTAAAGGCATTGGGGCAGAGGAGTAGCATGTCTGTCTGCTTTAGAAATTCATCCTCTTGGTACCTACAAGGAGGTGGGAGGATGCAAAGCCTGCCCATTGGACATTGCCCCTCCCTCACGCCCCCTCGCCCCCTGCGGTGTGGCAGGCTCCAGGGGAGACCTGCTGGGTCCTTCCCTCCAAGGGCGATCTCCCTGCACCTTCATGAGCAGGTCTACTCATCTGTATTTAAGGTGCAGGTTCCATACCATTCAGGAGCCTCAGGCTCTCTGGGCTGTTGGGGGGCAGGAGTGGGGGGATCGCTGAGTGGACCTTGCCAAATAGATTTGTCAAGTCTGCTGCAGTGTGATTTGATGCCACGAAGGGGAGGAGGGGACGTGGGGCAGTGGAGGGAGCAGCTTTGTCTATGCCGGGCGCGACCGCTGAGCCTTTCTTTGTAGCTGCTGGATGGTGGGCGCCGTGCCAAGCTCACTGGTGCTAAGTCGTAGCTGGAAAGGCAGATTCTGACAGCAGGACCTGTGAGCAAAGCGTCGCCGGGATGAAGGCAGCAGCCGGCTCTGCTCTGTGGGCAGGGGGAGGGTAGCAGTTGCAGCTCAGGGCACAGGGTGTGAAGGGGAGGCAGGGTGGTGTTTGGGGCAGAAATGTGGGAACCTGATGTTATGCCCTGCACACCCATACAATAGACTAAAGACCAGGGGATCTGGGAAATTGGAGAAAAACAAGACGAATGAACGCTCAAGGTGATGGGGGAGGGCCGTGCATTTCCTTGCAAAACACTTTAAAATTTAGATCCGGGCTGGGCTGGGCTAAGGCAAGGACTGGGCCTGTGGGGGGAGGAAGTGAGGAAACTAGGGGAGGCTTTCCATCCAACAGGTGGTGGTGAGGCTGCCTGAGAGGAAGGCATTACGCTGTCGCGGGGGGTAGGGCGAGCATCCCCCTGCAGTGCGTGGCACAGTTATGCAGGCCATATGCACTGCACATTCCCCAGCGCTTCTCTGGTCCCACATGCCAGAGACACGGAGCCTATCTTTTCCTGCAGGGTGGGTCCTCCTTCTGCGCATTTATGGCGTAACCGCAAGGCGCGGAGCTCGGCTGCCTGCTGGAGCCCATCCCCAGCCCATGTGCTCCCTTAGATTACACAAATTGCTTCCCATAGATTTCCTCCGAAACCACAAGCAGAAAGCGGCTGCTTTTGGTTTCCCCAGCTGTATTAATAACACCCCAAACACAGACAGAGTGTTGTAAATACAATAGTAGACGGTTCGCGGGTGTGTCTGTAATTGCAGGCACACAGAGAGCCGGGGAGAGGCGTGGAGAGAGGGAGGCGCTGGAAGGCAGGAGGCCTTGGCCACATGCCTGCTCATCTCGGGGATGCTGGCTCCGTGAGTCTGCACGGGAGGGGATGAGTCCAGGACCAGGTCAGGATAGGGGGACAGAGGCCGTTGCCCATATACATCTAAGCAAAAGCCCTGGCCTCCAGGCCTCCCTGATTTGGGAAATGTGGGCGATTCCCCTGTTGACACAGCTCTGGGTACCTTCCTCTGAGTCACAGCACTGCTGGGCCATTCTGATGTGTTTCAAAAAAAAAAAATTGTAGCTAAAAGAGAACGTCTAGGGGGCGCTAAATAGATCCTGATGACCTTAATGAGGATGGGAGGGTGAAACTGGGATGAGGAAAGGGTTGGGTCCGAGAGTTTTTAGAGTCACCCCCATGATGAGTGGCAGAAATGCCCTAAGCTCGACATATTAATGTAATGATGACCTCCCAGGGTCTCGGAGAACCCTCAGGCACCGACTTCCTCACTTCGGAATTTAACAGGGTTTCAGAGACTGTGCACTTGATACTCTGAGACAAGTCGTTTGCTCCTGAGACGTGGGGAACCGTGCGGTCCCCGCAGAAGGCACCTGGTCCCCAGGCTCTGACCCCCAGGCAGGTGTTCTCACCGTCAGGCCCACGCCTTGCTCACCGTCGTGCATGCAGAGGGGGGCTGGCTGCCCGGATGTTCCGTCTAGAGGCCGGAGGGGTGCCTTTTCCAGGAGAGCCTGTGGGAGAGATCTGAAGGCAGGTGGCATCTGGACAGCGTGGCTCAGAGGGCCCGGTTCAGCGCTGCAGAGTCTGGGCCCCGCCCTAGAATCCTGAGATGGAGAGTGGAAAGCAGTTGCTTTGCGTTTGATTTGGCCTCCACATCCCTTGAAAACAAGCAAACACACCCCCACTTCAAACCCTCCCCCCCCTCCGTCCTAGGTGTGTTTTCTAAATTAATCCAAACCTCTTGGAAAGCCGTCGGGGGAATTTGAAAACCTCTGTGAAACAACCAGAGACGGGGAGGAGGGCGGGGTGTTGGGAAGCCGGACGCCCCAAGTCAGTGGGCTCACCGTTGGAACCACGCGGTGTCTGTTCTGAGATGATGCGCCGCATGACCTTGATGCCCGGGTGACCTTGGAGATCTCCCCGAGCGGCTCTGGGCCTCCGTGTCCCCATCCACCCAGATGGAATGGTGCCGCAGCTCCTGTTGGCCAGGCACCTAGGGATCCGCAGATGGAAGGCTCTCTGCCGACATAATTAATGTATTAGGCCCACAAAGCTCTTCGTGAGCAGAAGCAAGTTATCCATTTAAAAAGTAACAAGGCCCCATGGGATATTTATCTGCCTCTTTTAAAACCTGAGGTCTGGGTGGGGCCTGGCAAGTCATCCAGACCGCTCCCTGGATCCGATGGGGCCTGGGATGGTAGTGCACCTCCTCTTAAGGTGCAACCAATGCCTCCTTTTAGTAACTTTGAGTTCTCAAAAAACACCTTTTTGCTAAGCCTCCTGGTGGATGGCTGGCTTCCCCTTATCCTGTCAGGGCTGTAATTGTGTTTGTTGTGTATAAGATTAGGGCAGTGACTCCAACCATCAGCCATAGCATCAGCCTTCAGAGTCACGGCTCTGATTGCATCGTCTCACCAGGGTGATGTGTGTTCAGAAGAGGGCTGGTGCCCTTTCCAAATTCAGGTCCCCCCATATCTCCGCCCCCCTCAATGACAACAGGGAAGAATCCAGGGCCCTGGGTAATTAAGTTTGTCCCTTATCCATTCGCCCTGGGATGAGCTCAGACCTTTA